CATTACCATGTATTTCTAAAATGTTTTATTTATTTTCTGTTAATATTAATTATAATTTGAATATTAAACTGAGAAAATTTGTGGTATTTCAAACGTAAGTGCCGTAATAGTGTATTAGATTAGACCTTGGACAATACAATCGTATATCTGATGTCAATATAATGTTTAAGCAGTTCCGGCATCGCTGTCGATGTTACAAAAAAAACCAATAGTTATAGGGGATGGACCGTTTGAAAAAAACTTCCCGGGCCGCTATGGAGGAGCCAGTCCGCTCCTGGTTGCACATACAATATTATAATATTTTAAAATGTAACTATTGCTAAAATTATAATTTATTTAATCCGTTAAATCGTATTTCATAATTTCAGGACCGGATCTAGGGGGGGAAGTAGGGGATTTATCCCCAGGGCGTAACATTTTAGAGGGTGTAATTTTCGTAATTATTAACGACTAATTTGATATTTTTAACTTCGTTAAATACTGATAGTAGGTTAAAACTCAATGAGTACGATTGTATATCGATTATAAGAACACAATTTATTTGAGTATTTGTTTATTAGTCTATGGATAGGGCGTAATTTTAACATTTTACCCGGGCGTAAAAATTCCTAGTTCCATCTCTGCATAATTTTTTTATTTAATGACATAATAGTTTTTAGGAAACTTGAATTTTATAATTTAATATTTTAAGGACGGAATGGTGCCAGTATTAGATTCATGAATACCGCAAACTACGAAGACTAAATAAGTTGTGTGGGATATTATGTTTGAGCTACTGATCTATTATTAAATCGTATAAACATTCTGAGAACTATTTTATGTGAATGTTTGCCGCATTAAGTCTGAGTAATACTACCACCCGCAAAACTTGGCCTGCTCTGTTGACTTATTATAATGGCGATATAATTTTATGGGAACTTCATGTTTTATTTCATCTAAACTCTAATCTTCTAAATATTCACCTACAGAAATGTTTTTCACCTATATTTTACTTTTTTTTCGCTTTTGTAACATAATATTGGTACCATTTTTTTTTTTTTTTACAAACAATATATTTAACAAACATATATTTATTTTTACGGCTTAGTTTATCAATTAAAACATATAACTCAACTAATATAATTAGTTTTACTAATTTTTATTTTTATCAACAATGGGCTAGATGTTTTGGTTTAAACAAAAATTTACTATTTTACAAAATCAAGTTATTTTCATATTGTTTATAGAAAAAAATTTTTATACTGAAAGTGAACATAGTAAATAAATTTTGGCATCTAATCAAACACGTATTCTATTGTAGCGTATCTATAACAAATGTTCATTGAAGAAAATACTGCATATATATATATATATATATATACATATATATTAGTTGTTAGTATATACAGTATACATGAAAATTATACAAACGTTAAAATTATATTTACACTGTATGTTTTAAATTCTTATTCCTCATAATTATTTACTCACAAAATTATGTTATTTTACAAAAATATACTAAATAATAGTCAAATATAATTTGTACATTTTTGCTAATGTGCATACATTGTTTAGTTACCCAACAATTTTTATGATCAAATTAGAGTGAAAAAATCATACATAAATATATATAAATACATTATATTAATTAAACATAATTATTACAAGAACATAACAAACTATAATTACCTAAGTTATTTAGGTCTGTACTTTTATTATGTATTATATATATTTTTCAAATTTACATTTGTAGGTTAATTAACTAAAATTACATAACATTAACATAAAATGTTTTCAAAAAGTTTTGCTTAATGTAAATAATTTTTCTTTTTTACAACATACAGATTAGAAGAAGCAAGAAAAGAACAATAATATAATTTTAATCTTGATAATATACATACAGTACACATATGAATAATCGGCAATGAAAGGGCAGCTAAACAGATTAAATTAGTAATCCGCTTGCCGGTCTCCCAACACATTAACATTTCCACAAGCACAGATATAAGAATACAGATTAACGAAAACAATACCTCGTTTTGGCAAAATAAATGGAACACCCAAACAAACAAATTAAACCAAAATAAACAATCAGGAAAAAAATCAGGGCGATGCCCGTTTCCACCGAAAGTAGACCTTTCCCTTTTCCACCAATACCCGTTTCCACCAAAAGTGTATCATTCCCTTTTCCACCAATATCCATTTTTACCAAATGAGATATTGACCACGTTTTTACCAAAACAATTGTATACTACGCTTAAATTAAAAGCTATAGCACAGAAATAACTTTATTTAACATATACTATTAATTCAATAAATGTAAAGGCATTATATCATATATACAATATAAGTTGGAAAATGTTAAAATTTATTTAAAAAAATGGTCAGATATAAAAAAATGAAAAAATAATATATTATGATATACGATACCTTAGTTATGTAAATTGTAACTATGTATATAATTAGTTGATATTTGTTAACTGATCTAATAAAAATTTTAAAGTTGTTTAGTACTAGTGTTTTATTTTCACGTTTACTTTCGATAACTTTAGCCACCATAGAATTATAAATTTTAAAATTTACGTTTTATTTTAACACACACGCAGTTATAATGCACTATTTAAACTGTGCCATCTTTTCACTTGTTCATAAAGTATTTGATTATTTAGATATTATAATGGTTAATGGACATAAAAGTACATGCATAAGTACGATAACGGTTTAACATACAATTAAATACAATAAATGTACAATATACATTGATTATATTGTGTGTATATTTATATATATATTTTATATTTCCGAAAAACTCATGAAAAATATAGGTATTTTATCTTATTTGGGGGAAATGGGAAAGGTCTACTTTTGGCGGAAACGTGTTACCTACGCCCAAAAATCAAACCCAAATTCAGGGTCGGTGTAAGACTAGTCATATGACGCCCGAGGCTAAAATGCTAACTGGCACTTTTTTCATTCAACAACCCGTTATATCATTATACTTAGAAAAAATGATATATTATACTCAATTTGTACATCATTTGTTATCGTCTAATTTTTTAGTCACGAGTCACGACGACTCGACGAGATCCCTATTGAACGATAACAAATATTTGGGAATTATAGTAATATATACGATAAAACATTCTACGCTAAACCATAATAAATATACTTAAAATATATTTATATTATTTTAATATACAGTTAAATGAAATAACCATAATTATTATGAATACTTCAATACAAAGTTATAGGTATTTTACATTAAAAAAAAAAAATAAAATTACTGTCATTATACGCAAAATTTTTGTATAGTTTGTAAAGTTTGTAAAGTTTTGCAAAAAAACAATTTTGGCGCCCCCCTGAAAATGACGCCCTAGGCGACCATCTGAATCACCTTATCTTCACGCCGGCCTTGCCCAAATATTAGTATCACAAACGAAAAGAAAACTAAATTAAACTAGAATTGGTCACACAAGACTGAATCATGGTTATTTGATGGTAAATGGTGACCCATCAATATGCTAATCATGCGGGACCATGCTCACTATTAAACACATCTTCAAGGAATGCAAAAAGTATGAAAAAAAGAGAGAAACTCAACATAAGTCATATAGAAAGTAACACAATATATTTTTTCAAAATACTAAATATAATATAGCCAACAATTGTAATGTACACAATCAATGAGGTAATTAATATGAACTGTATTATTTTATCTAAATTTATTTTTTAGAAATGTAATGATAATGGCCCAGTAGTAACAGAAATTACTAAAATTTTAAGACTAATAATAAAAAATAATTTTAATGCATATCTATAGATTATTATAATTTTAGTTGTGTATATTTTCTTATGCGATACTATCGACCTAATTAATATTTCTAGTGACTTTTTTGTATTACAATATTTATGAATTCTTTTTGAACGTTCTTAACTACTTAATGTTTATATCTAATTCTTGTTTTCTTCGACTTAGATATTATTTTTTGTATATGGTATTAAGTTTTTTTTAAATACATTTAGATAAAAGTATAGGATAGAAATTAATCATATTAACTTTAATTACTTTAATAGTAAACTAATTATTTTTCCACTAAACAAAACAAAAACCATTTTATAAGCCTCAAACAATTCTATTATTTTTTAGGTTTTTTTTTGAAAGATTTTACCGTTATTATATCTGTTTATTTGTTATACCTAATCGGTACTCAATTAAATAAAGCCGTTATCTTATATTCTTTATGTTTACTATGTTAATGCTTGATGGTTTAAATATAGAATAATAGTTAAAACTTAACTTTTAAACATAAATCATGATGAAGACAAAACTCATCGATGAATATTTTATAAAATATTCAAGCTAGTATATTTTAAAATAATTATAAGTTTTATAAAATGTAGTCAAATTATGATAAACCATAATCATAATAATATAACACAATGTTTTAATAAATAGAAAACTGAAGGTAAAAATTTCATAAAATGTCAACTTTAGTATTGAAAATTATTTAAAGACATATTCATATTTTTCACATTCTAATTATTTCTTATCAAAATGACAAATAGTGTAAGTTTAATTTAGATGTATACCTAACATAAAAAAATTGAACATATTTTAATATTTATATTCTTAGAAATAGGTAGTTATAGTTTATAACTATTTTCAATTTTATATTTATCATGTAGCATATTTCAGAAAAAAATATTGTGTTTAAATTATTTTTCAATTCTAATCGATAAAGTTTCATAAATAATAATAACGTTTCTAGTTTTTAAATGATTTTTTTTTTTTCAGAAATTAAATAGACGTGTGTCATTGGATACCAACCAGTGTTAGTCTGAAATGATGCCATTGAATACAAGTATGAACGGTGTAGACGATCGTCTTCCAAAAGTTCTAATTTTATCGGTTTTATTTTCACATCGTCCCTTTCCTTGACTTCAGCGAGCATATTAGCACCAGTCCCAAAGACTGAAAATTTAGAAACAGTGGGGGTGCAGGCTAGCGTTTCAGTGTAATAATCTTACTTCTCCAGTTCACAAACGGCGAACGCAAGGCACAATTTTTCCTCAAAACGTTCCTGTTGTTTAAGTCTATTTCCTTATTTTAAAAATGGTAAGTAAAATATTAATTTAAATTGTATCGTTCACCATTGATGAATAGAAAATTGGCAATTTACCATACTATTATAACAGCTCGTTCAATTATTAACATTGTAAAAAAAAACATGTTCGTTTCTACCTGCCGGATGAATTTTGTCATCTGCCAACTGAAACAGATAAAGAGAAAAGATAAATTGGCACATCGGTAGACAATATTGTTTTGCCAATCGTTTGAAATTCAATTCAAAATTACAATTGTATGTTCAGTTGCCAAATTTAATTTTCATTCAGTTTCACTTTCGCTTTATACACACATAGGTATTCTTGGCCAATTATTATAATAATAAGTTAATTGTTATTTATTTTGTAGGAAGATTTACCGCCAGAACAAATTTCAGGTAATTATTCACGTTGAGTGTCATATTATTTTTTTTTCTAGATCAATACATGTAAAACTAATTTTGTCTATTTTTTCATAAACTTGAAATTAAAATATATTTTACCCAATCGTATAATTGTCGATTCAATAAAATTAAATTGAAAACTGTGTACTAAATAATATAATGGATATTGTTTGTTGTAACGCCTTTAAATTATGCATTCATATAAATACATTAAATTATAAAATATATAATACATACATTGGTATGTAATTTTATTATAGTAAGAATATACCTACTTACACAAAAGTTTTTTTATTATATATCATAAAATACTTTAAATCTCAAATGATTATTTATCACACTACGCTATGGACACAAATTAAATTAACATCTGTAAATATTATGTTGTTATGTTCATATTAATATTATACAGAATGTTATGTTTTATTAACGAATAATGCATTACAATTTATTAAAATTTATAATTTTTAAATTTAATATTTTTATTATTATGATAAATTTAATAATTTTAATATTAAATTACAATACTAATATAATTTTAGAATTTAAAAATAATAACCTTACCAAGTATGAATAATTACATATATAATTTGTTTTATATATGTTATATAATTGTTTATATATTTCTTATGTGATAATACGAATGTTGAGTTAAACTATAACTACATCTAACATTAAAACGTTCATATATATTATAATTTCATAAAATGTTTTCGTAATATTTATTATTGCTGTCCATTAAATAATACAATAGTGTTATATTAAGAATTTAATTGGATTAAAAAAATCATTCCTGAAGATTAATTTGTAATGTTTAGCTCAAATTATATGATCTATTTTTAATCTAGCTTTCTGTATTATTTTTTAAATACGCAAATTTCACTTTTTCCCATTACATACATACACACGATAAACTTTTAGTCTTATATACATACTTATTAATATAATAATAATAAACTTCTTGGCAACAGACATACCAAGCGTTGGCACATCCATATAATAAAACGCTGGATTGGTTAAAAGTGTTATGACCACAACCTAAATTTAGCATCACTCTGATAATAATTTGCCTAGTTTACATATATTTCCTAGTTATTTCGAAAAATGAGAATACAATACGTCATATGGTTAAAATAAATTTGGGTTAATTATGCTTTAGGAAATCTGATCCTTAACTTATACAGACATGAAAATACATTTATAAATCCTCTGTTTATTACTTTTTTTATGTTACCGAAGAAATAATATAATTTTTAATAAATATAATATTAGGTAATATTCTTCAACACGTGAAAATTACAATATAATTAATATACTTTTAAAATTGACTAATGTAAACCAAGTACATGTACCATTTATCCACAGTTAGGTAATAGATGTAAAAAATTAAAATAAGAATATTAATAATTTGGGTTAAATTTTGATTTTAGTTATTTAGTTTCTATTTTTATTATTCCCAGGTTTTGACGGCGGTTATCGCTTAGCCAATATACGACTATGGTTTAAAACCTTTCAAAAAACTTCATATTTTTTTGCCATACTATTAATCTGCCTCATAATATTTGTGTGTTATTATACTAATTTAAATATTTTCGGAAAACACTAACTATAAGTTATTATAAAAATTAGTTCCTGGCATTCCTGCTTAAATGTTTACTTTGTTATTTTGATAATGTTACCAAATCACATTGACAAGTGGATAACTTATTTTTATAGCTTATCGCTAACTTTATTTTGCTTTTACAATTGGAATATAATTTGAAACATATGTTTTTTAATTAGAAAGTATTTTTTGAATCTCTATCAAACCATATTATTAAATCAGTATTTAAAATGTTGTGTACATCCCAATTATTATTCCATGAACTTTCATTTTTGATTTGTTAAGTATTCCATATTATTAAATAATTGTAGTGAATCAATTTGGTTTAAGTGTAGTAAATATTAGTTGTTTCGATTTTAATATATTCATTGTTTAGTTATAATTTTAAAAAATTATTTATTTTAAATGATAGTGTCTGTATATTTTTTAATGAATATTTAAAATGATTTGATTTTATATATTTAGATTTATCCATAAAGTAGTATACATATGTTTCAATACGTCTATGATTAATTGTTATTGCTTAATAAGTAAATATATATTCCAGATGTTTGTATGTATAAGTTCTATTATATATTATTGCTATATTTATATATTATACTACTTAATCATTGATCACAGCTCGAATAAATATAAACGCAATAAAAACTGCATATATAACGATGTTAAGCCTATAAATAAGAAAATATTTAAACTCATGATTACTTGTTCAGTACTAACAAGACAGGTTAGAACCGAACCTGGACCACAGTTATTTTTACACTGGTAGTATAGTTTACCAGTTTTTAATAGTTATAGAATAAACTATTAAAAATAAAAATTATAAAATATTAGGTTTGAACATTTAAATTTACAATATAAAATGTCGAAAAATATGTTTAAATCTTTAAACTATGTGTAATAGAGCAGCTGTAATATTTAATTACTCGTAAATACTGTATATTAGGTTTATCAAAAACCAATGTATGATAAATTAATTTTACGCAAATACATTTTTTTTTTCAATAATTTGATGATTTTTCAAAAAAAAAAAAAAAGAAAATAATAATGCGTTAAGTCAGTCATTAACATATTTATAATCAGGAATCAAATTATTATTATTTTTATATTTTCAAACTACAGAAAATCAAATAAATAGGCCGATAATATCGTTTCAACTGAATTATGAAATGTACTTAAAAAAAAATAATGTTTACTTTCTTTTTATAGAATTTAAATTAATTTAATTGTTTACTTCAAAAATTAATGTATTATTTAAGACAGAATACTATAAAGTATAACTATTATTTTTTTTAAACGAACAACGATTATAATTTTTTCGCTAATTTAATATATCATATACTTTGAGTGTCTAAGACTTATTCACTCTAATCATAATTAATATATATATATATAAATAGGTTATGTTTAAATTTTTTATTAAAAAAAATGATACAACAAAAAAAATATTATTAATAAATAAATATTAATTCTTATATTATAATTTACGATTTTTATATGAACCGAAAAAGATATTTTTTAAATGCTAAATGATATATTATTATAATTGCTAAAACAATACATCATAGTAGATAATTCATGAGTAAAACGTATATAATATAACGAAGTAACGTAAGGCTTTTGGTACTTTTAAATAATGTCATTAAATAAACGGTTTTTATTGAAATATAACTGTATTATATTTAATAGTCTGATAGTCACATAAGTATATAATATATTGTAATAAATACTTTTTTTTGATTATGAGAAATATAATAAAAGTAATTTTATCAATTATTTATGTTATGAAATTGGTTTTCTTATATAACTACTGTATAAGAATATTGTATTAATGCTTTAATTAAATAAAAATTTGTTCAACAATAAAAAGTATGGTTATTAACTTTAAATAAGTTAAGTTTTCTACTTACACCAATAAAACCATTATAACATTTAATTTATTATTTTAATTTCGGTTTTAATGAAAATAGTCTTATAACACAGACCTAAAAAGTTCTAATTTCTAATAATAAAATAATATTTACCATAAACATATTTACTAAAATGAAATTCAAAAACTGTACAATAAGAATCACACGGTTGCTTTTTTTTTTAATCATGATATTAAATAATAACCATCATGAAAAAATTCTTCTAAACATTTGTTAAGATTTGAATAATTAATAGCTATTATCGATAATTACTGAATGTCTTTAACCGTGTAACTATGGAAGTTCATTAAAATGGTTAACATGGTTTTCTTAATACCTACTTAAAGTTCTTATTGCATTTTATATTGTGTACCCTATTGGTTTAATTTTTTTTAATTTAGTTTAACTTCAAAAATAATGTTAAAATAATTTTATATATGTTAATTATAGTATATAATTTTTTTTCATATTAAAAATATTATATATTGTAAACTGTGCGACACAGTTGTTATATCAAGTATGATAATTGACCAATAGTCATAGATTTTTGTATAAATATACATATAAATATATGTATATATGTATGTATGCACTGCAGATATATTATGTTTAAATTTATTTGTGTGTTGTTAATCATTCATTTAAATAGCATATTGAAACCATAGTACGATACCTGTCAAGTAGTTATTGATCAAAGTAAAAGCCTAATGAACATGTAAAATAAACATAGTGTAAACAATGTAATCAGATATATGTGTTTTTAACGTAGTGATATATTTTGGATGTATGTCAATATTATTAGCAAATTACACAGCCAAGAATGTCATGACATCAATAGGTTAATGTTAACATTAGAATTATTCATAAAAAAATATAGTAAAATAATGTTTAAAAAATATATGAAAACAGAAATAAGTGTATGCATTTTGTGTCAAAGAATTATCAAAATAAAATACCTTCAAAAGTTCAATGTCATAATTTTCGCAAATAAGTTTTATTAATTTAATATTGGTTATTTTTTGTTCAAACAACGATGATTTTCACAAATGTTTTACAAATTGACCTATTATCGCATTTAGAGGAGTAATAACGGGAGATTTTTGGGGATGATAAGAAATGTGAGAATGCATTTATTTTCTTTGGATCGTCTAAGATATAATTATGATAGTCTTTTCAAATGTAAGTCCAAACCATGAAGAATAAAAATATCTTTATTTTTTATGGTCCAAACACATTCCTGATCATATTGTGAATAAATTGTACGTGGTATCTACACAATAAACTATAAAATACCCACAGATGTATTTTGCTATTTACCTGATTGTTAATATTCCATACATTTAATTTTTAGAGGTAACTTCTTTTAAATAATAATAAATAGGTTTAATCATTGTAAATGCTCAGTTCTCAGGAAAGCTTTCGATGCGTTCGATCGCGAAAGATCTGGCAGTATACCCACAGACATGGTAGCCGATATTCTACGACTCATGGGACAACCATTCAACAAGAAAATTCTTGATGAACTTATCGAAGAAGTTGATGCAGACAGTAATTGTTATCATTATTATTTTTCATTGTATTTGTAATAAGGTACATATATTTAATTCAAAGAATCTGGACGCTTGGAGTTTGACGAGTTCGTGACACTTGCTGCTAAGTTTATTGTTGAGGAAGATGATGAAGCTATGCAAAAAGAGCTTCGTGAAGCTTTCAGGCTGTACGACAAAGAAGGTAATGGTTATATTCCTACATCTTGTCTTAAAGAAATTTTGAGAGAGCTTGATGATCAATTAACCAACGAGGAATTGGACATGATGATTGACGAAATTGACTCCGATGGTTCTGGAACAGTAGATTTTGACGGTAAATAAACTTATTTATTTAACTTGAAACCTATATTATCCTTATTAATTTTACTATTTTCGAAAATATTTGAAATGTAGAGTTATTGTGATGTAATATATTCTTAACAAATAACAAATTATTAATTCAGAGTGCAACTTATGAACTGTTAAATTTTAACGATTTATTGAGACTTATTATGTTCAGGAAGATGATTTTTTTATATTTTTTATAGTAAAATGATAAATATTTACTTACAGCTATCTAAAAAATGATGAAAATAAAATAATTGAATTATAATTGGTAATATACTAATATATATATACTGAGTTTATTAAAAAAAAAAAATTAAAAAAGCGATCACAAGATTGTACAAATATAAAGAGTTATTCAGTGATTATATGAGAAAGTTACTTTAGTATAAATAATTAATACCCAATTTTTATGATCCATTTGGCCATTATAATATGTATAAAATATACGAATACACGAGTATGATCAAGTTTTGTTTTAAATAATCCAGTATTTATATCTTGGTATTATTAATTTAAGACCAATTTGATTGATATAATATATATACATTATAACTTATCAACTATTAAATCAGCTAAATTAGCTTTCTTAAACTATTTTTACTTATATTCATGAATTTTAAGTAGTGTGTATCACAAAATTAAATTGAATATTGATTAATGTGTAAATTCATTGAACTATTATAGAAATTAATCGTTATTTTAATACAATTCATTGTATGCATTATATATACTGTATTTTCTTAAAATTTTGATATATTTCATTATTCATTTTATCTACATAAAAATTAAATTAAAATGTAATTTAAAATTATATTAGTATAATTTTATGTAGATTTTTCTCATAAAAAATTTTAAAATATCCATACAATCGAAGTGCCTCAACATTTTTCGAGCTTTAAATTATATATGAATTGAAATAACCAAAAATCACATATCATAATAGATATCGATTAAAAATTAATATAATTATCATTATTATTACATAAATTTGAAAGTTTCGCTTAGAGAACAAAATAAAAAAATTAATTTTTTTTTTGAAATAAATAAAAACTGTTTTTAAAATAAATTGAAATCAATTATATATTAGAATAAATGTTAAAATTAACCCTTCAAATTTATATTGTTTGAACTATGATAAACATAAATAATTAAAATAAATTGTGTATTTAAATTAATAAAATAATGTACAAAATTCCAATCATTTACATTTTAATAATATTTTGTATATAATTGATTTGAATATATTTTTTTTATTTAGAATTTATGGAAATGATGACTGGAGAATAAATCATACCAAACTGGAGTCATTCCAGCAATGGATTTATTCATCTACACCAATCAAAACATGTTATTTATTTTGTACAAAACAACATTTTTTTTATATAAATTATATAAACGTCTAGCAAATCTAATAAACTCAACAATTATAATATTTATAAAACAAAGATTAAAATATTAAGTTTTAACTAATTTTATCACAATATGTGAATTTTCCGATTAGTTGAACTGAAGAAAATCACTGCAGATGTACATTGCTTGTTGTAACAATTGGTTGAAACATGTATTATTACAAATAAACTGTAACTAATTTATTGTTATAACTTGTAATAAGAATTGGAATTGTGTTCTATTATAATAAACAATTGTAAAACTCCTGTAACAGTTGTTGAAAACATATCATGTACTTATTATATGTTAAGTTGTAATATCATATTACTTACCTCTCTCTATGCGACAACTATGCCAAACTCGTGTCCACTCTTTATGTTATGATCACATTATTAAGATCTAGGTATCTATTACAAATCTCAACAATATTGAAGAATACAATTTAATGGTGAAAACTATATTTCAAAAGTTTAGAAATCAGACAGGAAAGGCATTCTATTTTACACCAATCATTTTCATAATTTCACGTATTAAGTTGTATTCTCATTTGTACCAACCAATAACTAGAACCATTTAGTTTTTAATATATTTTATCATACCGAGAATTTGTTTTGTCTGATGACTGACATCTATTATTTATATGGCTGTACTTTTAATATTAATATTTAATGATGTAATTTTCAATAATACATTATTTAGGTTCTATATTGTCTTTCACATTGTTAACTATTTTTTGTTTTAGAGTCTCTTCATTGTTCCAAAATGAAGCCATTAGGTTTCGAGTGTTTGTAGATTAATACAATATTCAACTGTCTAATTCGTCGGATACGTGTTCCAAAATTTGCTATCTATTTTTTAAAAAAATTTTATTTGATATAGGTTATGATGCAAGATGGTAGTATGGTGGAAGTGTTGGGAAAATGAAAAATGATTTGTACAAATACATTATCTATTAAAATATAAGTAATAAAATTTTTCCGAAATATCGATTCAATCATTTTAATCTATCTAATCCTCGTGATATATATATATAATATTCTAAATTTCAAAGTAAACTTTCTAAGTTTATACAAGTATGAAATTATGAATTGTGTACATATAAATATTTAAAATATATAACAATATCCTATACATAGTTGGCTTTCTTTTTTTATTCATTCGAAAAGAGAGCCGATAAATTACGAAATGAGTAACGGAAAACGGTGTATACCTTGAACAAAAACAAGATATTCATATACAATATACATTGTATAAAAGATAGAAGCTAATAACGCGAATGTGTTTTTGATCCTGGGCGCGCGCGCACACGTCGTACCGAAAAACCCCTCTTGTTCGACAAATTCGTCACGGAAACATGAACATAACATTATACCGAATATGTTTGCAATAAAATTTTCACCGGTGCTTTCCAATCAATAATAATAGAAGCAAAAATAATTAATATCGAATAGCGTCACGCATATAAATGTTATTATAAGTTCCAGTCTGACACAAATTATATATCTACATATAATATTATAATGCACCCTGGATGCAATAAACACTACTTGCAAGCATCAATATTATAACTTCCGAAATGACTGACACCATTTAATATATTTCTAAATCGTTTATACGGGTAATTTAACTATTCTAACGCTAAATGTTCATTTCGCGGTCGGTCTGTTTAAATTAAAAAAATAATTAATGAAAAAAATTTCATATGACATAAATTTTTTGCAAACAGTTACAATGGAAATTAACTTTAACACAATGCCGTAAAAACCGGATGTGTAGAAGGTGCATTGCACACAGGCCTTAGACCTCCAACTATATTTTATAATGCCTCAAAATGTCAAATGCTAAAAAACGTGTGATGATTAGAGGGCTCAAGATTTTGATTCGCACATCGGCCTCGAGTGATTTAGTTACGGCACTGGTTGTTGAGGTAAATGCCCGCATTCCATAAATAAATAGGGTAAATGGCTTTCAAACAAAATCGTTTGTGACTAAATGTTTTGTGCTAAATAATAATAATTATAATTAAAATTGACATTGTTATTATTATTCATAAATATATAAAACATAAACTGTCTACGATTAACACAACAATAATTTCAACTAATTAGGTAGTAATAGGTATGATAATATAATATACATAGTATTTATTTAATAATCAATGTGAGTGTGTGTGTATGTGAAAAGCTGGAGTAAATTATTATATTTCACTTTAAATGTAAAAGAACAATAAAGGACCAGTTAAACAGAAACAGGCTATCGTGCAGGCAGGTCCGTCAAACTTAATCTACTGGCTCGATGCAGAGTGAGATGGTGAAACGGAATGCAAATAAATTTGAGCGACCAATTTGAATAAAAAAATTATGACAAATAACATTCTAGAGCGCAACGATTTCTTGAATATGCGTTTGGGTTTTCAACTCAAAAATGGTGGTTTTAAGTTATAGTAAATGGTTATAGGCTTATTGAGCGTGTTGTCGAAATTGCTGTTCACGTTATCAATGCTGTATATTGTCTTCATAGTTATATTAGAGCTACCACCGAAAATGCCCTACTAATGAGAGAGAATAAGCAAAAGATATTACAAATTTAACTACCAATGCTTTTTCAATCATGGGCCAATTAAATTTTTAATATTTTATTTATTTATGAATTAAAACAACATGTAAGCGTGACTAAACTTGATTTACAACGGCAATGTAGCTAGATGACCGGTGTTACATAAACTTGTTTGAACCGAAATTTTTTCAAAATATAAAATCTTAAGTTACAACTTGTTATTTAAAAAAAAATCAATTTTAAGAGTATTTCTAGTCATTGTTTAGTATATAATATTGCATGCATTTTTATAGATTTAAGTGCATTTACGGCCATGGTAATAATACATTCTGCAATAGAACTTGGTCAATAATTAGACGCCTTTCGAAAATTAGAATGGCAGTACAGATTCCCCCTAGACCACGGCCGTAGACACGTCTATGTTATAATGATACTTAATTTGAATTATAATTATTATTTTTTGTATTATCTAGAATAAAACATTTAGTTGCGGCGAACAAGTCAGCTCTATATGGCTCATAAGCACTTGCTGCACCGACGCGAATCCTTTGAGAAGTACAAATGACCCCACCTGAAAACGCCTGGTCCCACCAGTGGCTATACCGACTGGACTGACCTTAGACATAATAATATAGTAATTTTTTTCACATGCAAAATTATTGTAAAGTAGTTTTGTCGTGGTGTTGTGATCATTTAAACATTTTAAAACATTGTAATTAACTGGTATTAGTTATTATTATTTTTTACGGCCCTACCTTATAACCGTCGGCGTTCTAAAAATAAGATCCCGGCACCCGCAACTGATCGTACACGTATGAACGATTGGCGTTTACTGCGCGACACGCACATTATTATGACATGTGACCGGAGCGCCATGTCGTCGCACGCGGTGGGGATCGCAGGCGGAGTGCGAGCCACCGTATTCTGCTGCACGCGGTATGCCCGCGCGCCGTAAGCGACGCGTGTCGTACATCGCTCGTCAACCGGTCCGGGGGAGCGAGTGAGAGTTTAAGCGGCGCGGGATGTGGTACTTTTCGTTGCCTCGCATGTGTCGCGCACACGGGCGGCACACGCACGTTAAAGCGCGTACGGCACGCACGTGAGCACACGCGAAATCACTGCCGCACACGGTCCGGGCACGCGCAACCTGTGCAAAACCGACCATCCGCCATGGCCGACCATCATCGTTCCGCGCTCGCCGTGCTCCTGGTCTCGCTCACCATATTCGTGTTCATCAAGTATTGCTTGGGACATCCGCACCACGTCACCGGCGGGCTGCACGCGTTCCGCTACGACAACGTCACCCGCACCGCTCTGCAGCACGTGATGTACGACGAGTTCGCCGGGTCCGCGAGCTCCCAGCTGCAGTTCGCCTGACCACGTCCTAAAGCTGCACACCGTCCACACGCGACAGAACCCACGGTAAACTGGATCCCGCAAACATCCCGATTGACCAGCGGTTATCGCCGACCTCGATCGTCATCAGTGCGGCGCCATTCCGTGCTCTCGTGGGGGGGGGGGGTTTCCGCGCACGTCGTAATCATTAGTTATCGGTTACGTGATTACGGGAATGGGGGAGGGGGGTGAATCATGATTTCATTTAAATACAGGTTAGCACCTCGTTTTAACTTTTGTTTAATTCAGTGGTTCCCAACCGGGGGGTGATTTTACCTCCCAAGGGGTAAAACAGAACTTTTTGAGCGGTAAAGTCTAATTTTTATATCATGTCCTGTATCTAAATTAATTATTATTTATTTATTTGTTTATTTATTATAAAGTATACAGTCTGAGCCCTTTATAAATTAAGTAGGGTATAAAGAAAAAATATAACAATTTTTACATGATGATATTAAATAAATTACATTATAAATACATTGATTTAAATTTGTGTACAGTTAAAAATTTAGAAAATTAAAATTTGGATCCGTGTTAGCGTGCAACATTAAACATTTTTCGTGTAGTTGGTGGCCTAATGGGTACGTGGAACATAGCAGTAGAGTTAGAGGATCGTTGTGGATTTTTAAATATAACTATGGAAAGTAATGATGAAGAATTTATAACACTAGTCAGTAAGCCTTTTAAAAATGTATTACCAAAATAATTATATAAATTATTATATTAACTTCGAATAATATTTATGCACTATACTCAAGATTATCCGCGATGTTTTGTGGAATGAATCATGTACAAATTCATAAACAAAAAATATAAAAATATAATGTTTTTTTTACATAATACTTATGTAAATACATCATTACGGTTCCACGAATCGGTATAATGAGATTGCAATAAACCAATGACGTGGGTGTACGTTAGGTCTGGTAGACGCGCTTTTTTTTGTAAAGAGAGGTAATTGCTAATATCTAACCTGATTCACGGGTACTAATAGTTTCAAAAAGGTTGAGGACCGCTGATTTACTTATCAAACATTATTATAGTATATTTTATAGAAATAATAGGTATTAAACAATCCCTTCCCTATATTAGTTGTACATAACGAAAATACCTGCGTCAATATACATCGTAATAAACATTATTGCACAAAAATGAATATACATTATATTTTATTATATTGGATTTTGGACGCGTAGGTATGACGCACTTCAGTTATGTCATATACACTATAATGCACAACTATATCTAACAATAAACGATATTATACATTTATGGGCCCTAATAATTGACGAATATGTATATGACTTAAATATATGACTTATGTAACAATCTTCC